TGGCCAACAGTGAGTCATGTTACAGTCACACAAACACACAAGCTGAACATGTTAATACAGAAAAACAACACTGTTCATGGAGACCTGTCTTTATTTAGAGTTTAATGTATTCATTTAATACAGAATATTAAAATGTATTTTTAGATATTTTTGCTTCAAACTTAGTTTTCCAAAATTAAAGTATTCCAGTTGTTGATTACATTTTCCTTGATTATTGTTGCTTTTGTAACACTGTTTACCAGGCAATTATGGTACCATGCGTTGTTAGAACTTCACACACTAACCTAAAGGTAAACTTAATTTTTAGACATCAAAACACACTAATGACATTAGACAGCCTACCTCTGTCGGACATAAAGCAAAAGCTCCCTGTATCGTTCATGCTGGAGAGAAGAATTGCTATTCATGACAGCCAACCCAGAAGATGAAGCACAATATGAATTCCTTTTGAACAATAACAAGTTTACTTATTTAATCATTAAACTAATGGCAAATCTCCACGCACAGCAATCACTAGGAAGCTGAACTGAACACTACTGAGCTCGGATTTACATGTCACACTATCTTGTACCCTGAAACTGAAGCGCGTGAGAAAAACCCTCAGAGGCAATCAATGCCGCATGTTTGTGAGATTTTATATCATTTGCAAAAAAAGTAAAATTTGAAAAGATGCTGAGTATCAATTCTACATACTTTTATATGCATTTTATGTGATTTTAGAAGACTGAAATGCAATTTCAATTAATTTCAGGATTTTCTTCAATTTCTTTTATCTGACAGCACCATCTAGAGGCTGACAAATATATTGCACCTTAAACCATTCTCACCACTTCAATTTCATGGCTGGAAGCAATGCATTAGTAGAGAACATAACTCAAAATATCAATTCTCAAAATCTTTGTATGAGATTGATGTAGCTTTAAAGAGAATATGTGGAGTTGGAAATATTTATGCTTACGATGGTCCCCCTAAGGCTAAACGCAAAACTGCAGTTTCAATACTAAGCTTGTGCATGAGGCGTGCATGCTGAACGTGCACACTCCTGAATGAAAACAGCTGAGAGTCCTGTACCGTTGCATTTACAGGTTTGCCGGCATGACTGACAGAATAAATTAGGGCTGCATAATATATCACAAATATACCGTTATCAAGATATCAGCATGTGCAATATGCATATCACAAAGAACAGATGTCCCAATGAATGGTCAGCTCCAATGTTTGCTACACATAATGCATTCTGTTCATTTTCTTTTTCCCTTTCCTCACATCTTTTGCTTTTCTCAAAAATTTTTTCTTGCCATTTTTAATTTCTTTGTTTTTGATTATTTTTGGTCCAGAGTTAAGTTTTTATTTATCGCAAGTAATATCATTGCAATATTAATCACTGTTATCGCATATCGCAGGTTTTCCTAATTGCATGCAGCCCTAGAATAAATGTAAAATAATTAATTTAGACCAAATCAATTTGGACTGCATATTTTCCAGCTTGTGATAGGTGGCCAAATGCATGGCAAAGTGAAAAGAGCGAAGAAGTCAAATAATACCGATAAATGAATAAACAGTGTTTGCCCTACATAGGCACACGGGTGGCACTGTGACACCCACCTTTATTTGAGTATTCATTAAGCACAACACATCCCAGCACAATGTTTTTTTTAAACCAGGGCACCCCCTGTAATGCGCTCACAGACCACTAGGGGTACGTGTACCCCTGATTGGGGATCACTGGTGTAGAGAAGTGTAGTGCTGCAAATGTATCATCATCGCAATATCAGCAGGCGCAATACCAGGGTTTCCCCCAGTGCTTTATAAGAATGGTGGGTTGCCAAGTCTTGCTTGGTGCCCCCGCCAGGCCAAGTGCCTATGTGGCTTTTTCTGACCCAACCATTTCTCTGTCTACTTCTATTGAGGGTTCATGCAGGATAAAGAGACCGTTTTCATGTTAAGCCTACATGTGAAACTCAGACAGATTTGTTTTGATACATTTTTATGCTGTAGGCCTACAGAGAAAATATTGTGATATCTGTGAGCAGTGGCACTTGTTCTGAAGGCACTTTGTTGTAGTTTTTTGTAGTAGTCCTACACAGAAACATTTAAAAAGCACTTACACTTCGTGTTTTTATTAGAGAACATATTTAATTCTACAGCCTTTCCGAGCAGACCTTTCAGTTATAAGTCTCTTTAATTTATTTAAATTTTGATGTACATGAGTGAGGTCCAGTGAAATGTTTTATTTAGAATTTTAAACTCATTTTGTGCATTGTTATGTCAGTGCTAAATAAATATTTTCATAGTTTTGTAATTGATTTACCGCAGTCTCTTGATTTTAGCGAGGTTAGTACACACTGTAGCCATGAATGCAATGGTTCTAATATTTAAAATGATCATTTCTTTCGGTGTTTCGGCCTTGGTTTTCTTATTTGTGGTTTTGGCCAAGAATTTTCATTTCAGTACATCTCCAATTTATTTGCAGAGTTTTCCCTGCATTGTTTTTCTAAGACGGGCCACCTGGATTTGTTTTCTCAAAAAACATTGAATGTAGGCGCATTTTTCATGCTTATTTTTATATACGGAAACTTTGAAACTGTTGGCGCTATCAGAAAAATTCTAATGGTTTTTGAAAAAAAAGACGTTATGCTTAGTTTTACCATTAATCTCTGGAAATATCAAACTGTTGTTGTAAATGAATTAAAAGATGCCCAGTTAATGAAAAATATTGACAGTTTCATAACATATATCCATAGATATCTGTTCAAAAAACACATGAGAGTGGGTCTAAGTCTCTGGGCAACTCCATATTGGATGCCATGTTTCCTTCTACAGAAGCCCGTGAGGACTAAATGCATTACTGATTTGTAACAAATGGTTACAAAACTTTCACCACTAACATTGTTGTTTTGCACATTTGCCTCTTCATTTGTTGCCGGTGATGAAAGGGAATCTGATGTCCTTGTGTTTTTGCTGGAGGTTGTGCTCCCAGGGATTTAGACCCTAATGGCGATCCGTTGGTAAGGTTTTATTTGAACACAAAAGTAATGCTTGCTTGCTTGCAATCATTTAGGTATCTATTGCCCCCTATCACCAGGGAAACTACACACTGTCACTTTAATGTCCACAGTGTTTAGATAAAATGCAGGAAGTGGGTAGAATAGATTTGTCTCACACTCACAAATGGTGCTGAACAAGTGATAGAAAATGAGTGACGGCCATTGATAATACTGGTAAAAGTAGAGCTACAAAAAGAAATAAAATCCCAGAAAAATGCACTGCTCTGTAAGCACAAGCATTGGGCTCCCTATTCCCACAGTGAAGCTTAAAGAGAAATGAACATCTTAAATATGATTCCATGTGCTGGTTTTCACTGTGCTAATGATACTGGTTTTGCCTCCATGTTGGCTCTACACATCCCATGACCTCAGTCTCTGACTTAAGTGTTTTCATCTGATTTTTGTGTGATTGCATCACTTTCTCTAGAAGCAGTGCAAAAATATTCCAAGAAAAGTCCTTGCTAATGCAGCAATCACATAAATGGTAAAAATGGCCTGTATTTGGTATAGCGTCTTCTAGAGTGCTGCGTCAAGTTCAAATTGCTAACACTAGCATACAAAGTCAGAGATGGTACGGCTCCCATCTACCTGAATCCTCTTGCAAAGGCTTTCGTCTCGGCCCGGCCGCTCCGGTCATTACAGGATCGTCGGCTAGCAGTGCCTACACCACGCTCAGGACAATCCAGACTCTTCTCATGCATCGTTCCACAAATGAGGAATGACCTACCAAGCACTACAAGAACAAGGACTTCCTTTTCGATTTTCAAGCAACTCCTGAAGACCCTGCTCTTCAGAGAGCATCTTCTAAACTAGCACCCTCCCTGCATCCCTGCACACTCTACTGTCCACTCCTTGTTCCCTCCTCTCCATGATTCATCATGCTGCCTCACTGCCACCTACGACTGACTGGAAATTGTTTGTTGTTGTTGTTGTTATTGTTGTTGTTGTTAGCCTAAAGGGCAACATGCCGATTATCACTTGTAAGTCGCTTTGGACAAAGCGTCTGCTAAATACATAAACATCTTTCTAGGTAAAGGCGATTTGGATTGAGTACAGAAGCAAGATCATCATTTGTTTTGGACATACTGAATGCAGTGTTAATTTGAAGTGTGCATATTTTAAATTTTACAAATGAAGCAAAAACTAAAGAGGATAGAGATAAGGAAGCAGACTTTTTGTATAGGTGGGTGTGATGGTGTTGCTGTAAATCTGAACAGATTAAAACAGAGCAAGGGCTGCTTTTTGGATTTTGAGACTTAAAACACCCACATTACTACTCACAGGCACAGAAAAGGAGACATGTTTAATATTTACCATCAAAATAGTGAAACAGCAGCTTGTGTAATCTCACTTTTTCCCTTTTCAATAAAATAATTGTGTAAAATAATATAAATAACAAGCTCAAAAACCAAAACTTCATTTAGTGACATTGCTTAATAAAAGCCCTGATGTGGTTTCCTAAACTATAGATATTTCTATTCGAACACGCCCAACTAGGCCCTTTCATTGATTCTCTCTGAAGTGATAAAGATTTTTATTTTAAGAGAAAAAAGGGAAATAAAAGTAAAGCCACAGTTAAAAACAAAAACAACTCTACGTTGGGGGTCAACACCAGAACTGTAAACTGCTCATATTAACCAGAATTAGCCGTTTAACCCAAAAGACTAAAGTATTATTTTCCATGTCTGTAGCTATAAAACACCAGATAAACGTAGTAATTTCCAAAAAATCCCATGACACGGTCTTCCTGGTCGTGACTGGTTGTTTTTGGAAATGATGTCCTAGAAAGCTAACGAGTCAGTTATGCCCAAACATGCCACGACATGCTGGAGTTGACTTAACAAGGAACGGTTGACAAACACAGCAAGTTTTGTTTTTTACACAGAGCTGAGTAAGCTAGCAAACATTTAACCCATATAAACTACCCCAAACTTCTTAGGCTGTTTCACTTACCTCACATAGAAGTTCGCGAACTCCCCACAAACATGTCTCCAGCTTAAAAGGAAGAGATATAACTGGAGTCAGAGTCTGAGATACTAGCAAATCTTCTGTTTTTAGCAGCGTCTTTTCTACTCACTCGTCCATCTGGGAGGAAGGAAGGCGACTCGTCTCTGGTCGGGAAGCAGAAGTTTGAAGCCCCTCCTCGCGGCTCGAGCTATGGGCTCGCGCCACAATCTGACTCCAATTAGGAGACCACAGTTGCTACCTTCAGGAGCCGTGGGAAGTTTGGGTATTTCTCAACACATTTGTGCTTTAAGGATTACATCAATGGACGGGAAAGGCACCTGATCTTCCTGATGAGTCATGTTTGATCCATTCCGAGCAATACGTGTGGCTCAAACTTCAACCGATTCAGCAGCATTAATAATAAGCCCAGAGCGAAAGTTAGATGTGACGTTCTCTCCCGCCCTCTGCTGCTCAAACATATAATTTGCTAAACTATTTAATCATAATTGGGTGGAAATAATTAGGAAAGGTGCATATATTTTATAATTTGCTGTTTAACGTGATGTGCGAGATACAAGTAAATGCACCTTGCGTTTCAAAATAAAAGCCTCTCTTTAAATGCAGAATCCTTACAGATTTCAAACTAAGAGTTTTAGCAAATATTTAAAGGAAATATTAATCAGTTCGTGTACTTCATTTTTTTAAATAATGGTCAATATGGTCAAGTTTATTTATTTTTATTTCAAACAAAATTAGTGAACATAAATAACTCACACACAGATTGCTTGATTTTATACACACACATATTCTTAGAAATATATAAAAAGCATTCATTAGCTGGTACCAGGCGGGCTGGTCTGAGTATTTCAGAAACTGCTGATCTTCTGGGATTGTCACACACAACCATCTCTAGTGTTTACAGAGAATGGTCAGAAAAAGGGGAAACCTCCAGTGAGCGGAAGTTCTGTGGATGAAAATCCCTTGTTAATGCCAGAGGCCAGAGAGGAATGGCCAGACTAACTCAAATAACCACTCGTTACAACCAAGGTATGCAGAAGACTTTCTCTGAACGCACAACACGTGGAACCTTGAGGCAGACGGGCTACAGTAGCAGAAGACCACACCGGGAGCCACTCCTGTCAGGTAAGAACAGGAAAATGACGCTACAATTCCCATTGGCTCACCAAAACTAGACAATAGAAGAGTGGGAAAAGGCTGCCTGGTCTCATGAGGCTCGATTTCTTCTGCAACATTCAGATGGTAGTGTCAGAATTTGTCCTCAGCAACATGAAAGCATGGATCCATCCTGTCTTAAATCAACGGTTCAGGCTGGTGGTGGTGGTGTAATGGTGTGGGAGACATTTTCTTGGCACACTTCCATCCCCTTAGTACTAATTGATCATCGTTGCTACGCCACAGCCTACCTGAGTATTGTTGCTGACCATGTCCATCTCTTTATGACCACAGTGTACCCATCTTCTGATGGATACTTCCAGCAGCATAATGCACCATGTCATGAAGCTCCAGTCATTTCATCTCATCTCTTGAACATGACGATGAGTTCATTGTACTCAAATGGCCTCCACAGTCACCAGATCTCAATTCAATAGAGCACCTTTGGGATGTGGTGGAACGGGAGATTCGCATCATGGATGTGCAGCTGACAAATCTGCAACAACTACGTGATGCTATCATGTCTCCAGTACCTTGTTGAATCATGCCATGAAGGCAGTTCTGAAGGCAAAAGGTGGTCCAACCCCATACTATTGAGGTGTACCCAATAAAGTGGCCAGTGAGTATATATTACAACAACATGCAGATCAAAATAATTTAGCTTCAGCTAGGGATGGGTACCTTTGACATTTGATTCAATTCGGTACTAATTCCCGGTACCTAGGAATCCATACCGGTACTTAACGGCACTTACTTTTGAGTGTTTAATATTTTAATTCTCTTTTATAATTAAATACATATTTTTCTCAATATATAACCATATTTGATAAATATCACGATAAATAACATACAACTGTTTGTATTTTAAAATCGTCCTTGTAGTTTTATAAGCTGATAATTAAACTGAAGCAAACATCTTTACTGTGAACTAAATTTACTGTGTATCTTCATTCCTTTGGCCGTCCTTTTTCATTTGATTTTTCCTACTTGGAAGTTAGAATTTCCAAGGAGAAAGGGAACGCACCATTAGCTGATAACAACGGTGGCAATGGAAGCTAATTTATCAAGCTAACGTTATCTTAAACAGTATATTTAGCTCCTGGAACAGATTAAAACGATGATGCCTCACAGATCGTTTTCGCTGGTTTCATCTTCACCCAATCACCCGTCGCATTTAGTAAAGTGAAGCCAAACTTTAGAGCGCGTTCATGTTCTTCTAGTCGGAAATTCGGAGTTCCGAGGAGAAAGCGAACGCACCATTAGCGGAACGGAAGCTAACATATCAAGCTAACGTTATCTTAAACATTTTATTTACCTACCAAAGATGAGGATGTCTCACTTAGATTGTTGTCGCTGGTTTCATCATCACCCAGTTACCCATCACATTTAGTGAAGTTGACCCAAGCTTTAGCGTTCGTTCTTTCTACCATGCTGCTCTGTTTACAACTGTCACGATCTGCCCCTGCCTTCCTGACTGTCTCTCTCCTGCCCTGACTGATCCATATTGTTCTCACCTGTCCCTCGTTAACCTGCCCATGTGTTCCTGTTTTCCCTGTGTATTTATACCTCCCTCCTTGTGCCAGTCTTTGTCAGATCATTGTTGTTTGTTCATGCGTGTTTTGTCCCGTCTCTCCCATTCTACAATTAAACCATTTTTGTTTCATCCGTGCCTGCTCTTCTGCCTCCCGGAACCCTCCACTACACTTGGTCCACCATCTCCACCCTCACACCATGACAACAACATACTCGCAGGGACCGATGACATTACGCTCTTGCGCATGCGCAGCTGTCCAGGCAAGTTCTTGTTATGAAGGATGGGTACCAAAACGAGGCAACATTTCAAATGACGTGAATTGGTGCTCAGTCGCTACTATGGAATTCGGTCGGTACCTTAAAAAGTACCGAATTCGGTACCCATCGCTAGCTTCAGCTAATGTCTGTCTAGATTTCTAGGCTAAGTAAAACGAAGTATAACTTATAAATTTCCTACCCCTGGGTCATCAATCCAGTTAACTTGCATCCTAAAATTGAAACAAAGCTAACAACCACAGCCATGATATAAACACACGTTTACTTACTGACAGTTCACTTTAATTATCCAGTTAAATCATTATTCCACCAACAACACAATTGCTTCAATTTTTTTGTCAATTATTTTAACTTTGTTACTCTTTAACTAAGTAGTTTTGGAAAATGCTAAGATGTTTTTACATTTATTTGTTTGAACATTGTCCCAATCCTCACCCATGGTCATGAGCTTTGGGTAGTGACCGAAAGAACGAGATCGCGGATACAAGCAGCCGAAGTGAGTTTCCTCCGTAGGGTGGCCGGGCTCAGCCTTAAAGATAGGGTGAGGAGTTTGGACATTCGGGAGGGACTCGGAGTAGAACCGCTGCTCCTCCGGATCGAAAGGAGTCAGTTGAGGTGGTTTGGGCATCTGGTCAGGATGCCTCCTGGACGCCTCCCTGGGGAGATGTTTCGGGCATGTCCTGCCGGCAGGAGGCCCCCAGGCCGACCCAGGACACGTTGGAGAGGTTACATCTCCAATCTGGTCCGGGAACGCCTTGGGGTCCTGCCGGAGGAGCTGGTGGAGGTGGCCGGGGAGAGGACAGTCTGGAGCTCCCTAGTTGGGATGCTGCCCCCCAGGGGCGGCGTTAGGCCCGGCTACTTGGGCTGAAGCCCCGGATCTAAATCGCGGAAGTAACATGCAGTACCAAAGTCCAACAGAGAGGGCGCAGCTGGCAGTAGTTTGTATACAGCCTGCCTGAGCCTCCACCACTGAAGAAGAAGCCCTTCAGCAGCCGGCTTCTTCTACACTCTCTGCCTGAAACGCATGAGTGAAGATGGACATAAGGACGTTTTTTAGACAAAAAGTACAACGACAGAACCCCAGCTTAGATGAGACTGGTGTTGACTCAGGTTTGTGAGTCTTATTTGAAAATATTTGTTGTGCTGCTGGTTTGCCTAAAGTTAGCTTACTATCAGGTAAAGTTGATGGAGAAAGAAAGGGAATATTTACTATCATCTCACACTAACAGGAACAATACTCTGTCCTGAATATTCTGAATATGTAGCTTCAGATTAAAAATTATGTGGTACAAGATATATGTATATGATGTTGACTAGTGCGTGTCACATGTGTGCGTGCGCACGTGTGTTAAGCCCCGGATCTTCTTCAGTCCTAAATCCGCCCCTGCTGCCCCCGCGACCCGGACCCGGATAAGCGGAGGAAGACGACGACGACGACGACATTTTTGGAACTATTTGTAAATTTTTTGACAATGATTGACATAAAATGTTTTTTTAAAGTTGTCTGTACCTTCCAATTTGCACAACTAAACTCCCCCCTAAAATAGTATTTTTCTTTATGTAGCTCATCACTTCCAGTGTGAGTGTGTCTGTATGGGTGAACGACTGATTGTCTTGTAAAGCATCTTGGGGGGCTGTAGAATGCTAGAAGGTGCTATATCAACCACAGGCCATTTACAATTTTCAGTTCAGTCTCAGTACTTGACCGTGGCAGTTTATTGTAGCCTGGCCTGCCAGACTCGTCCTCTGTTTAATTCTGCACAGAGAAAGAGTCTGGTTACTCACAGGCAGAGAGGAACATGAAGGGTGGGACATCTCAAAAATAACCAATCAGAAAAAAGACGGAAATGCCGCCTGTACCGCGTGACGCTGTAGTTTTTTAGCTGTAGTAAAAAAAAAAAAAAGGGCATCTGGCAGCGGCCCAAACATCTTTTTTTTCTTTTAGAAGAAAGGTTTTTAGTGCTTCTACTTGTGGCTTTAAAGACATTCAAGTCATTTAGAACAGAGGAAAGAGCCACAGCGAACTCTGCTTCAGTCGCCATGTTTGACAAACTCTGCATTATGGTGTATGACGTACGCTACGCAGCGCTGATTAGCTCGGTAAGAATTTTCAGGGGGTGGGGTTATTTTAACAGGAGAGCTCCCAGATCCTTTCTCTGTGCAGAGTTAAACAGAGGAGGAGTCTGGCGGGCCAGGCTAAGTTTATTGTGCAGAATGTGCAAAATACACACAACGAATCTGACCCGATAGAGTCTATGAGGAAAAGAAAATCACCTTAAAAATCTAAAAATTTGAAGAAAAGCATACAAGCTCTTGAAATTTCAAAATGTTTTGTATGTTGAATGTTTATGAAGCTACAAAAGCTCAAAGTTCACACCAGCCAGAGTCAAAGAAGACACCACTAGTCGCCCATGAAACTGTAAAACTGAATTTGTTTTCATGTTTAATTCCACAAAATCACAAAAAAGATTTGCGTAAAGATTTTTATTGATTAGTTTGGCAGACCTGAACAACGACTGAAGACTGACATTTTAAACAACTGGCTGATTAAACAGAACCAACTGGACCTTTTAGGAGGAAATCCCTTGGCTGCAGGAGACGGTTTTGTTTGCACAAGCTAATGCTAAATACACCATCCGTAGAAAAGGTTTAGTTCAGGATTAAGTAAAAAACATCCAACTTCATAGGTAGTTTAAAAGTGTTTTGTTGGCATTTTGAAAACTTCTGAAGCCATTTTTAGAAACAAGTTGGAGCTGCTCTGGGAGCAGCTGGGGGGATGCTCCGGGGCAAGAAAAAGAGACAGAATTCTTCTCATTAGCACAAATTGTTACAAGCCTCCAGTGACAAGTAGCGCAGCAGTTTATCATACGTCTGAGCAGGGCGGCGCTGGTTACACTGTGGCGTATCGGGCCGGCCCAGGACAGGACCGGAAAGGAGACAGGCCACTGGGAAAATCAGACAGAAACACTGGCTGGTGAGACGGAGATGTCTCCATCAAGGCTTGCCGTTTCTTACGATCACGCTTTTGGTAGCGGAAGCTAAAGGGTGGACGTAGAGCCACAGGACCTCCAGATTCTTCAGAGGAGGACTCAGAATTCCTGACTGGGTGTGGTTTCTTGTTCTCTAGACTCTCAGCAGACTCACTGGAGGAAGAGCCGAGAACACCAGAGGGTTTAACCACAACCGAGGGTTCAGAGGGAACGACGGGCGCTGCTTTTGGGTCAAACGGAGCCGGCTGAGCAGAACTGGGGGTTGGTGAGTGAGTGGGAACTGGCTGCACATCCTTTCCTGGGTCATCAGGCAGAGGCGGAAGGGCCGGGACCACAGGGTCCAGGCGGTGAACCTGCGGCTGCACTGGCCGAACAACGTCAACATTCTGTACACACACATACAAATCATCACGCTGTAATTATAATATCTGCAGCTCACGCTGCCAAGCGTGAGTCTCATTACTCGCCACAGCTAGAAAAAAGAGTTTAAAGACATTTTAATGACACCGCAGCACTATCACGCAGGTTTAAACACACAGAAGCAGAAACAAATGTTCAGAAGTCAGACACAGCAGGTAGTTTCTGACACAGTAATTATGTAAGAGTAGAGGTAAATTATTATTCTAAAAGTTGCTGTAGAGAAGGTTTAAACACAACAAACACAAAGTACCGGTTTCTTTTGTAACGATGTGAAATGACTCAGCTTGTTAAATTCTGTGGGGGTTTTGTGCAGGATTTACTCCCTGATGCACGTCGTTACAAAGATTGTTGTGTCTGTAACATTTCTGTCAATAGCACTCACTTTATAAATGTGTGTTAGCATGATATAAATATGCAGGACTGACTTTTTTTTAAAAGATTTATTAGCTAAACATTGCTGCCACTGCTTTCTTGTACCTGTATTCTGAACAATTCACAGGACACCTGAACATCAGGGTGGTCGTTCAAGTCTCCAAGCACAGATGCTGTACAGAAACCTGTGGTCTGGGAGGAATAAACACAATTTATTTATTTATTTATTTATTTCAGTTTTGAATGACTGATGATTTCTAAAGCAAGTACAGTAACAGCGCAGAGGATCACAATGGAACTGAATGCGTGAGTGATGCTGCACATGTGGTAGATGTGGGTTTGTGGTATTTTCTGTGTTTGACCCCCAAAACAGTTGCCTGTGCTACAGTGTCTCCCTCTCTCCCGCAGCTGTACATGCACTGCCTGAATGACTCATTGTCTTTTTGATGCGTGTGGGCTGCTGTAGATGTGATACCTACTCTGAATAGCATGACGCTGAGGAGTCGAATGATTTTACACACCGCACCTGTCTGCTCTTGACTCAAAGAAAAGCCCAAGTCTAAATATTCCAAAGATCAAAGCTGTTTCAAACGAGCCGTCGCCATCTTTAATTTTGTGATTGGCCCTCCAAACTGATAGAGCACTGTGATTGGCCTACCAAACCTATAGAGTACTGTGATTGGCCAAGCCCACCAAAACGATAGAGTACTGTGATTGGCCCAGCCCACCAAACCAATAGAGTGCTGTGATTGGCCCACCAAACCAATAGAGTACTGTGATTGGCCCACCAAACCGATAGAGCACTGTGATTGGCCCACCAAACTGATACAGCACTGTGATTTGCCCAGCCCACCAAACCAATAGAGTGCTGTGATTGGCCCACCAAACCAATAGAGTGCTGTGATTGGCCCACCAAACCGATAGAGCACTGTGATTGGCCCACCAAACTGATACAGCACTATGATTGGCCAAGCTCACCAAACCGATAGAGTACTGTGATTGGCAAGGCACAAGCCTGTTTGGGTCTGCTGAGGTTCCTATGGGGCGTGGCTACACCGAGCTGCAGAGCAAAATCCTTTTACTTCAGCTACTTGTCTAGATTTCTAGGCTAGATTATTTGCTTAAATAAATGTTTATTTAAATTCACTTCAAGTTTAAAATTCCGATCCTTCCTCAAAAGAAGTAAGTCGAGATGTCAACAGCAATTTTTTAAATTCTAAATATGACAGATTTTAAATGTTACACACACACACACACACACACACACACACACACACACACACACACACACACACACACACACACACACACACACACACACACACACACACACACAGTGTTGAAGTACCTGTGTGTCTGATTTGAGCGACAGTCTCTGGCAGGTTCCTCTCTCTGTGATTCCTTCTGGACACTCTTGGACTGCGTACTCCACTAAAATGGCTTTTGTTGGCACATCCTGCGTTACAAAAACGAAATGGCAAACAGCTCAAGCACACACAGAGAAACACTGGCAGCAGCAGAGGTGCAATAGTCCTGTTCTATAACGTCCACTTTGTTTTTGCTGTTTGTTTTCAGTCCCAGAGCCACAGTATCATTTGCAATGAGATGCAATAAATTGAGCTTTGGTCTCTGAACAAACTTTTCTGTTCCTCGTACCCGGACAGGACAGTAATGTGTAAAGTACTTTCAGTGATCCATTGTAACCTTGCCAGGCTCATATGATGCTATTGCATTACAGTTATTGTTGAGCAGTAATTGCTTCAGCTCAGATGTGCACTGTAAGGTCTGTTCATACACACCCAGAGATTAATCTTGGGTGTAATTTACACATAAAGGTAACATTTAACACGTTGCAGAGCTGTAAAATCAGCCACAGAGCTTTATTTCCTGCATCGGTGCTAACCATAACTGTACCTGTGCTGCAGCTCGAGTGATGTTTTTCACTCCGAGTCCTGCACCCAGAGTGGACTGCCTCTTATAGGACTCCAGACTGATCCCAGCAGCAATCATGGCATCGGGACTGTCCTCCGAAAGCAAGAGGGGACAAGTTGGACAAGTCTGTTGGAGCTTTTCTGGAGGATCTGAAAGAATCGGAATGCAGATCAGTAAACTTGAGAGATGAAAATAAAAACATGTTGACTTGGTCAACAAACAAACCACTGAAATTTACCCCGAGAACGAACTTAAACTTACAGGAATAACTCTTTAAAGGTTTACTTATACTTGGAAACTGCTCTTTCAGCCTCTGCAGAACATGTAAAACTTTGTTGGGGCTCACAATGGCGCAGGAGCCCTGATAGATGGCCAAACTCAACTCCAAAATAAAGTGGTTGTTCCCACCCACTCGGCCAGGACACGAATAACGGGAGGCAGTGTGGATGAGTGAGAGATGAAATGAGAAAGACAAGGTCCAAAAACACTTAAACCATCTGGCATTCATTCACATGAAAGCATGACGGTGGCTGAGGAGTTGAGTGCCAGTCCCGTAACCAGAGGGTTGCAGGTTCAAGCTCTGCTCAGTCTGTCAGTCGCCGTGTCCTTGGGCAAGACACTTCAACCACAGTAGTTTGTCCAAGTGCAAATCCGGGATTAGCATTACAACCAATGTTTATATATTGCTGACACTGAAGTGAGTTGGTACAGGAAGATTTAAAGGTGTGTGTGTGTGTAAACTTATGATGTGTTAAATCAGCATTTCTCAGAACGAACCGTTTCTACTTGGCCTTTACAAAAATTAATGATTTACGCAGCAAAGCAGGTTTCAGATGGCACACACTTTTTGGTACATTAGACACTCCAAGCTGCATTTTATTCAACAACAACAGCAAGTAAAATATGGTTTAAAACTAGGATCTCTTTAAATAAGAGTTGTAGGTCATTGCAGGATCGGTTAAATACAAAACACAATACAAAGTACAGTAAAAACATTTAAAGAGGAATTTCACTCACATTTAATACATTTGCAGTGGTCTCTAGTAGAAATAAAGACCTTGTTCCTCTGGGGGAACAAAGCTCAGATGCAGCACGCTCAGCCAAAGGAGAAAGTAGCTTCAAACAACAGGATTTGGAGTCTTACTTCCTGATATTTGGACATCTCGCCTGAAGGAGTTCTGCTGTGTGGTGGAGTTGCTACTGCTAATGGTTAGCTTCTACTAGCCGAGACATTCTCTGCTGTTTGCTAGCCGCTAAACCAACAACAGCCTTCCCCGTCACAAGTCAAGATGTGCGAGTCCATGAATGTTCAGTGACAGTGTGACGTAGATCTGTCAGGATTTTCAAATCCTGGAGTTTCACCGTCTGTTTTCTATCAGAAGCTAATGCAGGAGACGGGTGTAGGAGACTATTTTCATGTTCATCCTACATCAGAGTGACTGATCATTTTCAAAAATAATAAGTGAAAATGTTTTTTTCATTGAACAACCTCTTTAATAAATATACAGTGTGCTGAAAAATCAAAGATTGGACTCAGTAGCTAATACTGTGGCTAATGTCTGATTGTCACAAATTTCTGTTTAATTAGAGCTCAGGGACCATTTAGCTGTTCCAGTAAACAGTTGTTAATGCTGCTAGTTTCATTTGATCTGGACAAACTGAAACAACAAGTGCTTTTTCTTTATTCTCTTCACAAACCTCTCAGAACATTTGTGAGATGAACGCATGCCATATATGAAAAATAACAGTTATTCTTATATGAGCGGTTAAGGTATTTAGACGCAGTGTGGAGACATTACCTGGGAGTAGAGCGCAGTCGTAGCTGTACAGGTAGGTGTAGCCCTCTGCTGTGTGCAGAATGGTGGTGTTGCAGTTGCCACTGATTTGCTAAAAGACAGAATTTCTGGTTGGCATCAGGACAACTAAACCAAAGCAGCTCCAAAATAAGCACATTTGAGGGCTCCATAATGGATTTGTGTGTTTGTACTAAGCAGGTAGGTCTTGGGCAATGTGTTGCATTAAGCTCCCTGCTCTAAAATGTTCAATTAATATCCTGAAGCCTCTAAACCAGAGGTCAGCAACCTGGTGCCCACGGGCCCTTTCTCCAAATAGCACAAACATCTGTTGCTATCTGCATTAGTATACATTTAAAAACTACAAATTTCTTTAAAATACGTTTATTGTCCGTGAAGTTTAGTTTATCTATAATCTATTCTAGTTCAAAGGTCATTCTTGTGTCAACTTGATAGCCCTTCGTGAGGCTCAGTACCCACGAAGCAGCTCTCCGATTCACGACGGTTGGTGACCCCCAGCCCTAAACTGTAAATGATTGAAAACAAACAAAAATAAAAATTCTCTTGCTTCTCTAAAATTTCCAATAAATAAAACAAATAATAATAATAGTTATAAATAAATAAATAAATAAAGCTTTGACATTTAGACAAGTGTTTGCCTACTTGGATGCTACTTAATAAAATAAAGGACACTTTGGAGGAAATTCACCTCTAGTGCAAACATTTGTCTTCGTGTGTGTTTTAGGGTCCCACCGTTTCCATGAATTGACGTCACAACGTTTCCATGGTTTCGGGCTGCCTGTGTGACACTTTGTCTCCAGGACGTCCAGGTCCAGATAATACACGTTTCCTGCTGGTCCCTGTGTTCCCACATGTGCGTCCATGTCACAGGCACGAGGAGAAAACACGACACAGGTTACGAAATATTCACGTAAACCAAAGCCTTGATGTCAGAGCTGATGGATAAAGCTACACTGATTTAATCCTTAACCTCCCCCGTAAAACAAATGCAAACATTCCAGGCTGTGAGGTTAAACTGAGCCTGAGAGTGATCCGTCTCACACGCAGGCCTTTGTAGCCTTCAGCAGCATGAAGTTCATGACTGTGGTGCAGCTTAGCGCTAAAATGAACTTTATTAGTGGTTACTTCATGTCCTGAATGTCTTCTTTATGAGGCACGACAGGTGATGACTTCTCACTCTAGCAGTTATCAAACAAGGCATCACCTGGTTCTAAAGGCCACGCTGGTCACGTTTTGATCCAGAAACTGAGCACAGTCACTTGTTTTTGTGCAGTGAAACAAATAATTCATCTATCAAACAACCTGTCTTTCCCAGTTTTTCTCAAATAAAATACTCATTTGCTGGAGGGGCCTTCCAAATCTCCCCCTCAGCATTTGCATTCACACTCACCTGAGCATGCAGGTGGACGTTTGCAATGCGGTTTAGAGCAAATTTGTAGCCTTCGCTGCGATCCTCGTTGATGTAAGTGACGGCCAGACGAGAGAGCTTCTCCACTGCTTTGTCGTTACAGGGAATAGGAGCGAGTTCCACCGGCATTAGTAGAAAATCCTCCCCGTACGCATGCAGAGCACGAAGAGAAAGCAGAGGAATCAGGAGTAAAAATGTGCTGATGTCCATAGCGACAGAGGTTTGGACGAAAACGAACCGACGGAGCTGCTTTAAGGTGATGTTTGTTTTCTTATGTTTGCCCTCCGTCCAGAAAGTGACTTTTGGAATGAAAACGGACCAGAGATGTGGAAATGACGCCAAGGGCAAAGTTTATTTGATGACAAAGGGCTGATATTTGTGAATGAATTTGCTGTGGTTCATTAAACTCCCGCGAACACAAACAGAGTGAAGGTCAAAGCTGTCATTTATAGTTCTCCCTGCAACCGCACTGTAGATTTAAGGCTGCTTCCTCGCCAGACTGGGGAAAACAGGAAGTGTGGCTTACGTGTGTGAATAAACTCCAGGCACTCGATCCGTCTTCTTTTTCTTTGCATAACATTTTCTTTCTGCAAAACAGCTGGTTTTTAAAGAAAACAAGTTATTTTCAGTTTTGAACTAATTTATGCAGAAACATGTTTCTTTTTTTAAATAAAACCAATAGATGGCTATCCCGGAGGCCTGGACTGAGAAGCATGCAGTATTTAATTTAGGGAAAAGCTTTATTTTTTTTAGGTGTAGTGCATTCTGTGGATCAGTAGGAGTCACTGTGTTCCTGGCCTGAGGAGTCGAGGGGAAATCCTTTGGTGCAGCCTGCAGAACTGGGTTAATGATTCACTAATATCCAGTGACTGTCATTAATGTCAGCATTAGTCTTGCTGCTGTCCTGTGACTTTCTTTGGTCTGGGTCTTTCTTTTCCTGACTAAGTCAGAAGCCATCGTTTCGACTCGGTTGAATTCTCTGTGGTAAACGAGCAGCGCCAAAAACATCTCAGAAACAATTAAAACAGACTTCTTGTGATGGAGCTGTGAGCTCTATGGTTGTATTCTTGCTCATGCCTCTTGGCGGTGAAGCAGTGAACCTCTCGGCTGACTGCTGTGGGTGGGGTTCACACTTTGGGAGCAGTCAGATTGGTTCCGCCGTTCACGACAGGATCAAGTAAAGTCTGTAACTGCAGCTCGGAGCAGACGCACACGTAGACTCTCTCAGTCTGTCACTTCCCACGCACACTTTTGATTCATCCCAGTTTGTAGAGAAAAACAAGGAAAACTCAGCAAGTTGACTTGAAATCTGCTAGCCTGGCTTTGAAATCTGTGTTAAACCATTAACATTCTCTCTCTCTTTCTCTCTCTAACTGAAAGGCCTGAAAGCATCATCTTGCTTGTGGGACTCTGTTGTAATACATCCGCAGCATGCACACACAACAACAAAATGACAAAAACTAGCTATCCAGAGCTGTGATTTCACATTTTTTGTGTTTTGGACTGATGCAAAAGCCTTCAATAATTCAGAGTGGTGGGTTTTTATGGGTTGATTTGCACATTCATGAGCAAGAACCACACTATCAATGAGATGGGAGAATGTGACAGTAATTAGGAATAAGGTAAACAGTGTGGGGAGCGCGATGCCAAGAACTGGCATCAGCGATCGGCCTGGCAGAGCTCCACCTATAGAGATGAGGTGTGAGAGGAAAAAATGAGGCAGGAGAGAGAGAGAGAGAGAGAGAGAGAGAGAGAGAGAGAGAGAGAGAGAGAGAGAGAGAGAGAGAGAGAGAGAGAGAGAGAGAGAGAGAAAGAGAGAGAGAGATAGAGAGAGAGAGAGAGAAAGAGAGAGAGAGAGAGAGAGAGAGAGAGAGAGAGAGAGAGAGAGAGAGAGAGAGAGAGAGAGAGAGAGAGAGAGAGAGAGAGAGAGAGAGAGAGAGAGAGAGAGAGAGAGAGAGAGAGAGAGAGAGGATTTATAGAGAAGAACAAACAGGTGTGTGGAGCAGAGACATTTACAGACAGAGCAGCTTGTGGAGGGGAATATCTGTGTGTGTGTGTGTGTGTGGGGGGGGGGGGGGGGGTTTCTCTTCAGCTGCAATCCTGATCATAACTGGTATCAATATTTAATATCTGCAGGTCTAATGTGCTATAACAGGGCTCAGTTAGGTCATAAAACATGTGTCCTTGTCTTGAACAACCATACTGCAGACTTCAATGGGTCTTTATTCTTTGGACATTTGTGACTTTTTTTTTTTTTTTTACATTTTTTTATTCAATGAAACAAGTATACAAACATCTTAGGTGTGTTCTTGCTGTGTCTTGTTTCTAATTCCATGCTGTAGTTCAGTAAGGGTTTAGTTACCTGTTTTTTCGCTACGTTTCGTTTGCGGCTGCAGACTTCCTCAGGCTGACGGTGATGGTGGCGTCACTTCCTTCTCTGTTTATCCGCGGGCAGCAGAGGACGTTGTCGCCCTCTACTGCCCGCTCTCCCCTCTCCAACGATGCAATCCCATGCGCGGTCCAACGTGTAAACCCCATCGTCCCTGTTCATGGTCCCACGTCTCCTTATCGCCATTGCTTCTTTAATCCATCTTTTGTATTTCTGTTGTTTGGTGTTTATGATCCTTGTGTTGTCCCAGTCCATTATATGGTTTTCTCTTATGCAGTGATCTGTTACGGCTGACTTCTTTATTGTGCTTTCTGCTTCTTCTTTTGCTGCTCTTGTGTGTTTTCGACTTGCCTCTTTCTCGCACTCCTTTCTATGTTCTATTGTTCGTGTGTTGAGTTGGCGTCCGGTTTCTCCTACGTATGTTTAATTGCAGAGTTTGCATGGGATTTTGTAAATGACTCCACCTTTATGTCCAGCTGATATTTTGTCTTTTGGGTGTACTAGTCTGCTTTTAACTGTTGTGTATGGTTTTGTTGGTGTGTTTATGTTGTGTATTTTCATTGTTGCTCTTATTTTTTCTGTTATGCCTTTGATGTATGGTAAGGTTATCACTGGTTTTGGTTCTTGTCTTTCTGGGTTTCTGGTTCTTTGCTTTGGTTGTTCTTTTCTTTCTGTTGTTGTTTGTTGTTTTCCTTTGTTTATTGCCCATGTCGGGTATCCGCAGGTCTTTAAAGCATGTTGTATGTGTTTGTCCTCTTGTTTACGGTCTCTTTCTTCTGTTATTATGTTTGTTCGGTGATATAGTGTTCTGATTACTGACATTTTGTGTATGGTGGGGTGTTCTGATGTCAGCCAGGCCCAGTTTCCCCAGCAACCAGCTCATCAACGTCATCCAAACCACCTGTCTCACATTTACTCATTAGCTCCACCTGCAACACCCTCTACAACACCAGGACCAACACCAAGCCAGTGCCAGATTATTGAAAGCTCATGCCAATAAATTCTCCAGCTCTCCAACCTCTGCCTGTACCATAGATCCTGACCTCGTTTCTGTTCCTTGACCAACCCACGTGGCTGCTCCCTGCCTGGATTGTTTTCTCTGCCTCTGACTACCTGGATTCTCGACCTCGGACCACTCTCTGGGTTCAGCCTCCTGCCTGCCCCTTGTAGCATTCACGGATCTCTCTCTGGTTTTGACCCACGCTTCCTCCTGACCCTGCCTCAGCCTCGTCCACCTCTGGGAACACCTAGTTGTGTTTTCCTTTTTAATAAAGACATTAATAAGCGCCTTACTGTGTCTTGGTGTCCTCACGGGTCCTCAAGTTCTGTTCTTAACATTTCTGCTCCCTGATCATGTGGCGTGTGATCAACTTTAGAGCCGTGATGTTTACTCTCAAGGTGCGCAAGCTCGTTCCCGCCCCGTAAAAAACGCAATTGACAAATTAGTCGTTAGCGGCAGTGAATGGGTTAATAACAAAACTCTTTACAAAACATATGTGAAAAAACAGAATCGAAAAAAAGATGCAATACATTTTGGCCGAGCGGTATTGCTGTACCATGACGACATCATCGGCAAGCGCAGGAACCCGAGCAGATCCAGAAACTACATCTCCAGAAAACAATCTGCATTGCATTCTCTTGTTGGAATTAACTGAATGACCATCAAAGTCTGAGGAGTCACGCAGAGGGTGCATGCTATCTGCTGAACAGGTAACAAATACAACATTTACCATAATGTCTTTTCAAACTAGCGACAGTCATGATGATATGGTGTAAAACTACCCTGAAATGCTTGCACTGCCCCCTAGTGGCAGGAAACTACACACTGCCACTTTAACTGAATAAGGTCACGTCAATCCAGTTTCTGACCTTTGGAATACAACCTGGTATAAACTAGCTGGAATAGTTTTATTTAGGTCTACAATCACTTAAGCCGGGTATACACTGTGCGATGTTTGGACTTTTTTGACCTAATTTTCCTCTCGTACGAGAATCTTTGAGGTAAGGGTGAGTTTTGCACTACGTAGTATACAGCGAGTTACGAGAGGCGATTAAAACCTCAGGACAATGTCAAAAATGTTTGATATTTTCATTATTTCTTCTGATGACATTGCACTTTTGAAGCAGAATTGTGACCCAAAAGTACTCCCTCAACTGCCATAAGCCCCCGTGTGTCCTGCTACGGCAAGCCTGAAGGTCAATAGACATCAATAACAACACAACAGTCTCCTCTCTTCGGGGATTTCTGACTCAAAGGTACAATGTGTTGTGGTAAGACTAGTAACTTTAGCATTTTTGTAGGTCCGACGTGTTGCTACCAGACATAGAGTGTGAGCAGTCAGGTTGTCTGAGCACTGGGTTGTACAGTGTGAGAACATGACTCTTGAGCTTTGCTCTGAGACGAAGTCGTACCGTTTGAGATGGAGTTGAAAAATTTGCACAGTGTCCGCTCGGCTTTAGGTTCAAGCACCTGAGAACACTATGTCTTCGGTTAGAATAGGACGTGGCACGCAGCCTCATCTCACACAAATAGTTTCCTGATTTTCATACAAAACGCAGACAGGGGTATCCTTCCTGTAACATTTCTCCGCTTTTATTTGTTTTGTAAACAAACCAAGTTAAAACAGCCTCATCATTTTTAGTACTGCTGTGTTAAAGTTGAAGGTGGGTGTTTCTCAATGCCAAGGAACCTTGCCTTGATGTCTTGGCCCCGCGCCGATTGCCTAGGAGATACGTCATCAGGAACCGCCAAGGCGTGTTCCAATCTTCATGTTTTACCGAGGTGTCTGTTCACCATTTGTTAGCCGTTAGCCGTTTAGCTAGCTGAGTAAGGATACACGAGAGGTGTCTTGTAGCCTAGCCTTGGTCAAAAATTTCCCAGAATACACTGTGGTATTTTCTACAAGATG